GCATTCGTTCGAAGCGTAAAAAAGAGTAACTTTTTTTGCGTTGAAGATGTTGGAATTTATTCCAAAAAAGCAACATTTGCGGGAAATTTTACTCCATTATTTTATTTTAAAGAAAAGTGCTGCAGAATCGCATCGTTTGCTCGTAGATGTTTACGATGACCATGCTCCATCGAAAAGCAGTTGTAAAGAATGGTTTCGACGATTCAACAGTGGTGATTTTGACGTGCGTGACAAAGAACGCGAAGGTGCACCGAAAAAATTTGAAGATGCAGAATTGCAAGCATTACTCGAAGAAGATTCATGTTTATCGCTCGATAGGTTGTCAAAAGAATTAAATGTTGATAGATCCACTGTTGGAAAACGTCTACACGCAATGGGAATAGTGCAAAAAGAAGAAAATTGGGTGCCATACAAATTGAAAGAGAGACATGGAAAGACGTTTGGTCATCTGCGAGATGCTTCGTCAACGACAACAAAGAAAGGGTTTTCTACATCGTATCGTAACTGGCGATGAAAAATGGATCTACTACGATAACCCTGAACGCTTGAAAGCATGGGTGATGTCAGGTGAACCAAGTCCATCAACGCCAAAACGAAATATCCATGCTTCGAAGATTATGTTGTGCATCTGGTGGGATCAGAGAGGTGTTATATATTATGAGCTGCTCAAACCGTCCGAAACCATCACTGGCGATTGTTATCGACTACAACTGATACGTTTAAACCAAGCTTTGAAAGAAAAACGACCGGAATGGAACAATAGGCACAACAAGCTGATTCTGTTACATGACGACGCTAGGTCACACGTTGCAAAACCGGTCAAGAAATACTTGGAAGGAGTAAAGTGGGAAAATCTGCCCCACCCGCTGTATTCACCGGACATTGCTCCTTCAGATTTCCATTTGTTCCAATCCATGCAGTCGGCCCTTTCTGGAGAACGATTCAATTCTTATGAAGATATCAAAAAATGGCTTGATGAATGAATCGCTTCAAAAGAACCAGATTTTTTAATTCGAGGAATCTGTTTATTACCGGAAAAGTGGGAGAAAGTTATCGCTTCCGAAGGAGCATACTTTAAATAAACTCACTTATATAGATCTGTTTAAATAAACACATCTTTTTCTTTTCAAAAAGGACGGAAACTTATTCCCATACTCAATATATCTGATTTCATTTAAACGTTAATTAATTTTTATTACAGATCCAATTAAAAAACGTAAAGTAGAAATTGTCCTTGAGTCTTTTATCAAAGACATAAAAGAAGAAAGGCAGGAAATAAGGATAAAAAGAGAGACTGAAAGAAACTTCAGAAATTAAAAGAAGAGCGTGAACATACAAAACGTAAAGACGAACGTGAACAAATGCACAAAGAAAAAATGGAAGTATAAAAATCTTTAATAGATATCTTGAGAGAGTTAGTTACTAAATCCAAATAATTTTAAGATTCGCAATTTAAAAAATCCAAATAATCTTAAGATTTGCAATTAAAATAAAATTGCAGAATTTAATTAATTCTGCAATTTTATTTCATTTTCTCTACTTTGTTAAAAAAAAAACTGATTGAAATATTATTTTGTTCGTTTTTAATAAATAGTGATATCTATGTAGTAAAACTGCATCTGGCCGAAATTTCGGTGTTGAATTTAAGACTTTCGAAGTAAAACATATCAAACTTGAAGTACTTTCTATACTTCCAAAAGCTATTTAAGTTATTTTTAAATATGATGAAAAGTTAAATTTTATGTTAATACATATTGATAATATATATTATAAAGTGGAACAATTTTGTTCATGGATGTACTTTAGATTCAATTTAATAAGATACTATAATACTTTTGATACTTGTCATACTAATAAAGTTAATTTTTTATTATCCTTTACGCCAAATATATGTCATTTTATATCTAAATATATCATGGAATGATAAAGAAAATCCAAAAATTAGTTTTTCGTCATTTACTTGTAGTACAAATTTTATTAATATACATTTCTGATATATGTATCATACATTTTCATTGTATCTTATTAGTAAGGCATTTGTTATTTCGATTCTTTTATCATTACCTAAATCAATTAAATTATCATGTAACATTGGATCTACCACTTCATCGTCACCGCGATATACATCTACATTGAAGAGATCATTTTTTAAAATACAAACATTGTATAACACACAGCAGGCCAAAATAAATTCCGGAATTTTCTTAACATCAGTTAACGGTAAACAATCCAAGAGAATCCGAAATCGTATCTTTAATTGAGCTATATATAGCTCAATTGCCATTCTAGTAGATGATAGGCAATAATTGAAGTTTTTCTGCCTGTTCGTTAAGTGCCCATTGTTTCTATATGGTACCATTAAGTGTGGATGAATACCATATGCAGCATCCCCGATTAGATGGGAATTTTCAGGAAAACATATTTCAGGTCTTGCAAGAAAATCTCCTGCCGGAGAATTACGAAAAACACGAGCGTCGTTACAGATCCCACGTGTCCAGCAAAACAATGCGTGAAAAATTCAAGTGAATCGCATACAAGTTGTACGTTAATGGAGTGAAATCCTTTTCTGTTTACGTACGACGCAGGATCTATTTTTGGAGTCCGAATTTTAACATGTGTGCCGTCAATAGCACCAATGACATTCGGAAAACCATATGCTTTTCGAAATTGTTCCATTACTTTTGTGGCAATTTGCCGATCTTTTGGCCATTAAATATGTCGTGGAGCAACACAATGTAATGCATATGTTACACGCCGTAGTGCTCTAAATGCAGTTCCTTTTCCAATTCCAAATTTAGTGGAAGCAGATCTGAATTAAATATGAATAACTTAATAATTTTATCACAAAATTAATATACGAGGTCGTCTGAAAAGATTTGAGCCTCATCATGAAGATGGCGTTACTCGTCAAAGCCATTCTGGTATTATAATCGTGATACTTACGAAAGATATCTGTGACAATTGTGGCCACTTTGGACGTTCAGTTTTTGTTTGACAATCATTTGTGTCGTCATTTTGTAAAAATGGAAAAAATTGAATATCGTGCTATAATTAAATTCTTGCATTTGAGAGGCAATACGTCTACGCAAATTAAAGCCGAGTTGGACGCTGTTTACGGGGATTCCGTCCCATCATTTGCCACCATGAAAAGATGGATAGCTGAATTTAAACGTGGTCATACCAGCTTAGCTGATGATGAGTGTTCTGGACGGCCAACAACTGCGACCACCGATAACATCGAAGAAATTCATCAAATGATAATGGACAACCGTCGAATTAAGATTAGGGAGATAGCAGAGGCTGTTAAGCATATCAAAAGAACGTGTTTGTCATATATTGACTGAAGAATTAGACATACGTAAGTTAACCGCGCGTTGGGTGCCGCGCTTGCTCACTCTGGATCAAAAACGCATTCGAATGAACATTTCTAAGGCCCTGTTGGAGCGGTTTAAGCGAAACAAGTCGGATTTTTTGCGTCGATTAATAACGGTTGATAAAACTTGGGTCCACCGCTTCACTCCTGAAACGAAAGAACAATCAAAACAGTGGACTGCGAAGGGTGAACCTGCTCCGAAGAAAGCGAAGACGGTTTTATCGGCGGAAAAGGTGATGGCGACTGTTTTTTGGGACAGTCATGGAATTGTGTTGATCGACTATCTTGAAAAAGGTAAAACAATAACAGGGACGTACTACGCATCGTTGCTTGACAAGCTGAAGGAAGAAATAAAAAAAAAACGACCGCATTTGAAAAAGAAGAAAGTGCTGTTCCATCAAGATAACGCACCATCTCACACTTCGGCGGTCGCAATGGCAAAAATTCACGAATTGCGGTTCGAATTAATTGACCATCCATCGTATTCACCAGATCTGGCCCCCAGCGACTTTTTTCTGTTTCCTCAAAGTTTGGCTCAGAGGACAGAAATTTTCATCGAACGAGGAGGTCATCGCATCCGTAGACACTTATTTTGCAAAGCAAGACGCTCAGTATTATTTGAATGGATTAAAGGAGTGGGAGCATCGCTAGAAAAAATGTATCGATTTAAAAGGAGACTATGTGGAAAATAAAATTGAATTTGACCAAAAAATTACTTGTTTCTATGTTAGGCTCAAAACTTTTTAGACGACCCTTGTATATATATAATTGCAATTTATTTTTTTTTAACTAGTTATTAACTTATTTATATATATATCTATAAGAATCAGGTGTAGCCATAAATCATATGGTAATAAGGAGTTGTGTCTCTATAGGAATAGGATTTCTTCCACATTTAGTATTGATAGCTCTTAATCCTGGACTGATTATTCGTAGTACTTCCTCAAATGTTTCAGGAAACATTCTATAAATCCAATGAACAAACATGCAATAATTTTTTAATTCTTAAAATGAACACAATTCATAGGAAATATTTCCAAAACTGAATATTAAATAAAAATAAATAAGTATATACACTCACCGAAAATGTTCTTTAAATACATGTCGGGAATATCCAGGAATAACACACTCAACGTAATCGGATATTTTTTCTGAACAAACTGATTCTCCGCGCGTTTCACCTACCATTAATACTGCATATAAAATTTCTAGTTCGGAATGTAAAATGTATTCGTCTTGTTCTTCACTTATATTATCGGAATGTTCATCAGATTCTTCACTACTACTACTACTATCGCAGTCATAATTTACTATGAATAATGAAATGTTTACAGATGCGTTGATATTGATAGCAGCCATCGTTATTTCGCATAGATTGCGATGAAATATGTTCCGTTTCATGGCATGCATTATGCGCATTAAAGAAACGGAACGGAACACATGAACTGCGCATTCGTGATGCGAACCATGCGTTCTATGCGTGAAACGGAACGCACCTAATAGTCTTTCTTCTAATTATGACAAATTTTATATACATATTCTGCTATCTGCGCAAATTCTACAAACTGGATCTTTGAAGTCACACTAGGAATATTAGATTTTTTATTTTTATTAAAATTACACTCACTCTCGGGCCAATAGCATCTTCCAGGCATTGCATCCGTGGCCATCGCGGATTCGTGCCTCCTGCCGCACGTGGCGAAACTGCTACCGAAAGAGCCGCCGCCCATGGAACCGGGCGATCCGGTCGTTCCACCTGGAACATCCAGGTAATTGCCTTGAAACGCTTTGTCTGGTCGTTCAGCATTACCCCGTTCGACAAAAGGAGGTACAAAGTGCGAGAATAGTGACTCACTTAACGAGGTACCCAGTTGGCTGTAGCCGTTCATAGTTGGAATTTGCATCGACTGCATCGGCTGCAATTGCGGCTGCAGCTGTGATCAAAGAGACCTCCAATGATTCGATCAAATAATAATATTTAAATATTTGAATATACTATTTATCAGAAAGTTATATTATACAGATTAATTCTTAATTATTAATTATACGCAAATACTTCGCGAGGGGCGAATCTAAAGAAAAAATAAAAAAGATATTTAAATGTAATTTGTTTGGGCATTATTCTTCTCTCTCTCCATTATAATAAATTTTAAAAAATACTCGAAGTACCTCCATTCGTTGTAAAGATTTCACGCTGCATAAATACAATATATAAAAAAATTTTTTATACATAGACATGTAATAATTTTAGCATGAAAACTCACCGATTGGCAATGACTATATGAGAGTTGCGACTGTTGGAGACCCCATGCGCTATAATGAAAAAAAAGTTTAATACTAATTCGGGGAGGAATTATAATTAAGAGATATACATATACATTTTGAATTAATTAAGATCTAAATGTTATTGAGTCTTTTCTCATTTTAGGATCTTCAGT